CAAATTACAGCCCTGACCGGTTTGGCTCAGTGGATGGAGCGTCGGCCTGCGGACTGAAGGGTCCCTGGTTCGATCCCGGTCAAGGGCATGTACCTTGGTTGCAGGCATATCCCCAGTGGGAGATGTGCAGGAGGCAGCTGATCGATGTTTCTCTCTCATCGATGTTTCTAACTCTCTCTCTCCCTTCCTCTCTGTAAAAAATAAATAAAAAAATAAAAATAAAAAGCCACTACGCAACTAGTAGGAGGCGGAGACATGAAAGGGGCTGACCCCGTGCCCAAGTGTGGCAGGTGAGAATTGGGAGGGATTTCACAGCGAGAGGTTCCCCCTGAGGAGCCAGGGGTCCAGCCCCACCCTGGCCTCCCCACCCTGGCTCCTCTGCCAGAAAGAGGTACCCCACAACACATGGCTGTGAAAATCAGTGGGGATTCTACCCATCTGGGCGAGGTGGAAGGCCAGGCATCCTCTGAAAGGGCGATGCTCAGACTCAATCTCTTGCAGGCACTCACTCTGCACTCCGACGGATGGACAGTGGCTCGGAAGCACCAGAGACAGGAAGAAACCGAGTTGTGTGGCTTCAGGGCTAGGGCTGAAGGGACAGTGGCCACTGTCCCTGTGCTGAGCCTACAATGGGGATATTACAATACCAACCTGATGAGGTTTTTCAAAGGCTTCAACTAAAGAGGTTTTTAATCTGAAGGCACCCAGCATGGCACATGGCAGTCACTCAAACCATTCCTCCCAGAACACCCTACTTTGACTTCATCGCCAGGACTGGATTACTTATGCCTGGAGACATGCCTCGGTGGCAGTCAGCACTCAACCTGTGTTCTCACCTTAAGGTCAGGAAGCAAGGTGCCTAGCTTCCTCCATCCCCGAGGTATTTTTAATTTCTTCTATCAAAATACTGCAAACTGCTCTGGCCGGTGTGGCGGAGTGCGGGGTCAGCTACCCTTACCCACAACAGAAGAGAAAAAGGGCTGCCAGTGTGATTCCTGGTCAGGGCACATGCCTGGGGCTGGGGCTCCGTCCAGGCGGAGGGCATGAGGAAGGCAGCCAATGGATGTTTTGCTCTCACGTCGATGTCTCTCTCTCTCTCTCTCTCTCTCTCTCTCTCTCTCTCTCTCTCTCTCTCCAATCAATAAAAAAAAAAATTTTTTAATTGCAAACGGCCAAATGGGCTCCAATATAAGCAACTTAAAATGAATTTGAATGCAACGTTTCCCCCACTAGGTGGTGCTGCACGTTAAAGCTTTCTCTCAAGTTCATTTATCCCCAATATAGCCATTTCTAAAGCAGGAAAACTGACGGACGCCACTCATAAGAAGAAGGGAGAATCGATGTGTCACCAAAAAGATAATTTATTAATAATTCCTCACAAAGAATAACACCAAAACAAACCCGTTCATTCAACATTCGGGCCCCCCGTGTAGAGCGAGCGCGCCCTGCGGGAGACGGTGCCTGCTCCTCGGAGCGCGCAGCCTCGAGGACCGAACAGCGCCGCCGGTCACCGCAGCGGCCCAACCGCCAGACACCGTCCGGCCGCCCTGACGGTTCTTAATGGACAGAAGTTCTCGGCATCCCGCGGGCTGCACGGGGTTTCGAGGCCGAGGGGAAACGGAGGTGCCGCGGCCACGCAGCGCGGCCACCCAAGCCCGAGCCCCGAAGCCGGGCCCACCTCGGGCCTGCGCGGTCCCCCAGGCCCCTCCGCCCGCGCCACGAAGTCGCGTCCCCTGCCGCAAGGCGCGACCTCCGAACCCATTCAAATGGACTCAAGTTCGAGGCTCTAACTACGAAGTGTCGATGGAGCACTAGTGTCATCTATAATCCGCACCGTCCCCCCATCTGTTCGAAGGCCGAAGGATCCTGGTATTGGTGTGAAGGGCCTCTCAAGATTTTTCAAGATATTGGTCGGTCGTTGACTCCGTGAGTGACGTAGAATTTCCTAATACAAGAACACACAAAAAGTATCAGCCGACTAGTCGGAGCGGACTCTCGCTCTGTGTTCGTATTTTTTTCTCTTTGAGTGCTGATGAGTTTATGTGAGTCGTAAGTGATGCTTATGTATGAGAAGGA